TTTCTGAACCTCCTGATCCCTGCCCCGAACACCACCGAGTTCGACCAGAAGGCGGAACTGCCTGCATCCCAACCTAACGGCCAAGTCGAGCAATGTGCACTTTTGGACGCAGTGTCAGAAACTTCTGCCCCCACGGCTCCTACCCCCGCTTTGTCGGGTGCACCATACTCCGAATCCGACAATCCCATTCCTGCTCCAGTTACCATCACCAGTATTGGTGAAAATGTAAATATGGATCAGACGCCATCCTCATCGTCCTCCTTAGCCGCCCGTCAAGACCTTCCGGAGAGGGGCGAAGGAGCGAGCCCTCCTCCCAGTTTCGCTGAAGGGCGGAACGAAGAGGAAGAAGAGGAGACAGATGAGGAAACACAGGACGGGTCTTGCGCCACCATCGTTAAGGTCTGTCCATCCTGCCACCATTGCCACCTAGTGTCCCTTAGATCTGTGTCATCTGCCCTAGCCCTTGTTAGCGAGCTGTGTGGATTAGGTTCTTACAATTTCCTCGCATTTACGAAGTTTATATGTCGATAGATATCGTAATCTGGCTCTTGTTAAGTCTAGAAACCAGTTGTGCAGCCGTGCTGTGGGGAAGGGTTTTTCAAATCGATCACTATTAAAGTTTATCTCTAATGGTATGAGGTTTATACTACTCTTATCTCCCTCTCCATTACTAATTTTGCGTGTAAATTATCTTCATCGCACACTTATAGCCAGTACTATTCCTCAATCCCGTAGTCTTATAGAGCAATCCACATGCAATCCCATCAGCCATCCATTCCACTTGTCGTTTTTTCACTCAAAATATCGCATTTTACTAACTTTTTCACTTAATTATCGCGCGTTTTTTTGTTGTCAAACATTAGGTTATTTGAATAATTGTTCATATTATTTTCTACTTTTATACGTCCTCTTTCTTCAATCAGTTTTTCCCCGATATGCCCCAGCGATGAACCATTCGCCGCATTTCACGGGTCTTTCCTAACTTTCATAAATAAGTGTTACTTAAACGTAACAAGTAGTAATATTCCAAATGAAATTTTAGGGGATGACGGACTCAGCGTACGAAAGCCTTGTAAAGGACGCTCCTTGAAAATCTCTCTGGCAAAATGCGTTTAGTGTCATGGCCCAGAAGACTGCCAACTGTCAATTGGGCTGTCAATTGGGCTGTCAATTGGGCTACAACGGTCCCTCCCTAATGCTGCCTCTATGAGACTCACGCATGTTAGAAGGGGAGGATCTATTCGCCATTCCATGTACCTCACCCCTGCCCAATGCCCACAACCCAACCCAACCTACGGCACAGTTGGTCGACAAGCGGGGTCTAGCAGATAGGTCATGAGCACTTCATCAAACGCAGTTCACTAGTTCCTCGCTACCTGTCACTGTCCTTGCAAATATTATAACTTGGAAGGGCAGTTGGCGAGCATACGTATACTTTCGATAAATTCTCTTCGGGCC